AGATGGCCCAATATTGACACAAAATCTTTCCTCTCCAATGAATGGAGTTTTATTCGGGTGATTTTCATAGCTCGGGGGAAATGTGTGAAGGGTGTGGGCCAGATGCACTTCCCCTCCTCCTGCCCTCCCCCATACCCTTCACCAACGTTAGAAATGGCTGTTCTAGTTAGTTCCTTCTTTTACCATTATTGCCTCGTCTTTCCTTTTCATCACCCATTAGAGATAAATTATGTCCCCAACACTTAGTATATGCCAACAGCAGGTGCTAAATAAATATCTGTAGAAAAGTAAATGAATAGTGACCCTACCTGGGCCACAGGAAAGTCAAGAAATAGAAAGCGGTCTGCCTTCCACTGGCCCCCATTATTGCTGCAAAATTGCCAGACAACTTGTCAGTTTATAACTGGTCTTGATTTTTAGATAACCTAAAAATTGAGGGGGAGGGGAGGGCAAGGGGTTCCAAAGATACGATCAGCTCTTCTGAGCTGCCTCTTCCATCTCTGGGAAATAGTACAGAGTACTGAAGGCCACCAACACAAATAGATCTGGGTTCAAATCCAAATTCTATCATTTACTGGGTATGTAACCTTGAAGAATATCATTTAGCTTCTCCAATATTTGATTTCTCATGTGAACAATGAAGAGAACAGCACCTGCTTGACAACATGGTGATTATAACAATTCATATGAACTATGAGCTCACTGAATACTGGTACCTTTCACTTCAAGTCATTACCAATGAAGGAAATAGTGGGAAATAAGTCCAGATGTTGTTCTGTTCCCAGTACCAGAAAAAGGAGACACTTCCCTGCTTTAGATGACTAGCACTGAGAGAGATCTGGGTGGGGCGAAACCCATGTGGCTAAGTGAGGCTCAGGTGTGCTATGGATACTGCCACCAGCAGCTCCCAGCATGGGCCCAGCCCCTCTGGTGTGGCTGTACAAGCCATCTGTTAGATCACGGTGACTCAAGCCAACAGAATCGCTGTATTAAACTTTATCCTGTGGCCAGAAAGAATTCATCTGAGTCAATTCTAGCAGGGTTTTCCTCATTGTAATTAGTAGTTCAGGATAAATGGCAGATTGAAAGAGCTTGGTGGAAGCCCCAGGGACAGCAGCAAGTTGATAAACCACTTGGATAGACTCCTAGATTCCATTCATAGTTGGCTTTTTGCCTGATGAGCTGATAGGCCCTGGGAAGATCCAGTGGCATGTCCAGCCCTTTTGTGAAAACAGGCCCAATTCTAGCCTTGAAGGCAACCCTCACAAGTGGAAAAAGAGACTGTATCTACATAGAGACTTCTAGAAGGACAGAAAATGGAATCTGGTGAGCACATTAGAATCTTACGTCAACACCACAGTCATCCCCTTCCCTCTACTGAAGAAAAAGACACCACTTCAAAGAGAGCATCTTGAGTATTTCTTTTTAATGGGCATTAATCAAATTCCATGGGGCACAGGAAGGAATGTAATTGAGCAGAATTCCCTGTTTTCCCAAATGTTGCAGGAGTGAAAAGCCCATGGAAATACAAAACCTGATCCCATGGGATGTCCCAGCTCTAAAGGACTTCAGGTACCAAGTACCTTTAACTCACAGGCTTGGCACTGGATTGGGGTTCCCCCCTTGCTCACCCTCAGGCTGGGTGTGGAATTGGACAAGATGTCCTAAGGTCCCCCTATGTCTGCATCTTCAAAGGCATACAGTCCAGAGTCCCCATGGTTATAGCAACTGAAGTCCTGTTTGCATTGGTAGCAACCAGTACATAATACACACTTTCTCTAGACTCGATTTTTCTTTTCAATCACTGGCAAGAAAGTTCCTCCCAAGTTTTTCTGATACGTACTTCTTCCGTTTCATTATTTGGAAGATTGATTTGAGAACCTCTTTGGAGACCTACCCAAACCAGAGCATGTAACAGATAAAGCACCTCAAGGCTACTGGAAAGAAACACACTATTAGGTCGAATCATAACAAACTGCCAGGCACTGGGGCAGGAGAGGGGTAAAAAAAATAAAATAAAATAACAAACTGCCAATATTCAGACTTTTTTTAGCTACAAAAATGACAAGTTTATATGGGTCAACCTAGCTTCTTCAAGGAGCTTTCTGAAAGATTTAGACTTGCTGACTAATATGATCTCAGAACCAGTTATAAGCCAATGCTTCAGCTAGGGGTGACCTGGATGCATCAAGCCTATGGGCTTCCGGTCCTATAAGATCACCAAGAAAGACCATATTCTGAGCCATCAAAGTCATCTCAGTCAACTTCAAAAGATTAAAATTTTACAAAATATAGTCTCTAACCACAATGGAACTAAATTAAAAATCAATAACAACATGATATCTTTCAAAATTCCCAGTAACTTACTTCTACAGAATCCATGGGTCAAAAAATAAACCACAAAGGAAATGAAAAAATATTTTGAACTGAATGAAGATGAAAATACAGCAAACTAAAATTTGTGGGATGCAGTTAAAGTAGTACCTAGAGCTGAATCCATACCTTTAATGGCTGTAGGAGAAAGTTAAGAAAGGTCCAAAATCAGTGATCTAAGTTTATACTTTAGGAAGCTAGAAAAGGAAGAACAAATTAAAGCCAAACTAAGTAGAAGGAAGGAAATAATAAAGAAGAGAAACCAATAAAATAGAAAACAGATAAGAAATTAGGGAGGGCAAAAGTCAGTTTGTTGATAAATAAAATCAATAAAAGTTTACCTATAATGGTCAAGAAAAAAAGAGAAAAGACACAAATTATTAATATCAGGAATTAAAGAGAGGATACCACCTCAGACCCTACAGACATTAAAAGCATAATAAGAATTCTACGAAGAACTTTATAGACATGACAACTTAGATCACGGGTTGGCAAAACCTCTATGGGCCAAATCTAGCTTGTTACCTGTTTTTATGCTTTTATTGGAACACAGCCACACACATTTGTCTACGTATTGTCTCTGACTGCTTTTGCACAATAACCCCAAGGTTGAATAGCTGTGACTGAGATCGTATGGCCTACAAAGTCTAAAGTATTTACTAGCTGCCCCTTTATAGAAAAGTTTGCCAACTTTAAGATTAGAGGAAATAGACAAATTCTTTGAAACACAGAAACACCCAAACTGATTCAAGAAGAAATAAAACATCTGACTAGCTCTGTATCTATTAAAGGTACTGAATTTGTAGTTAAAGACATTCCCACAGAGAACTCCAGGTCCAGGTGGCTTTTCTGGTGAATTCTATCAAACAGTTAAGAATGCATTAATCCTATTAATAATCCTACACAAACTCTTTCAGAAAAGAGAAGAGTAGGGAACACTTCCCAATTCATTCCATGAGGCCAGTATTACCCAGATACCTAAACCAAAGACATTATAAGAAAACTGTGGAGATAAGAAACTAGGCTCTAAAAATCAGCACTGAGCTGACCTATCACATTCTGATGGAAAGGTAAAAAAAAAAGAACTAGTATGTACCCATATCTGAAGAATATGAGATAAGATGACTTGCAAGATGACATGAAACCTGAGTCCCCTCTTCCCTTAAGGCACATGGTAATAGAAATATCTTAAATTCCTATTGCAGAGGGTAAACCCCACTGCTGTCTACAGCTTCTACGGCTTCTTCACCTTCAACAGTAGCTGCAGTAAGACAGAGCACAAGACGTAGGCCCCTTGGCCATAACTACATTCTGACTTGCAACACAGAACAAAGAGCTATGGCTAGGTCTTTAATGTTTGCCCTGGTAACATGGCAGTAATGTCACAGGAAAGTTCCCCCATGGCTCTAATAGACTTACATTTTTTTGTTTTTGTTGTGTTTTGTTTTTTAAGACAGAATCTTACTCTGTTGACCAGGCTAGAGTGCCATGGCGTCAGCCTAGCTCACAGCAACCTCAAACTCCTGGGCTCAAGCCATCCTCCTGCCTCACCTCCCAAGTAGCTGGAACTACAGGCGTGTGCCACCATGCCCGGCTAATTTTTTCTATTTTTTTTTTAGTAGAGAAGGGGTCTCACTCTTGCCCAGGCTGGTCTCAAACTCCTGAGCTCCAGCAATCCTCCCGTCTTGGCCTCCCAAAGTGCTAGGATTGTAGGCGTGAGAGCCACTGCACCAGGCCTAGACTTAGGTTTTTATAAAGTACAATCTAGTAGTACCAACTTCATACATTCTCTCCAAGCTCACTAGCACCCAGGCCAGTGGTGGCCATGCAGGTCTGCTGGGAAAGAACTGGCTCAAGCAGTGGCCGGCTGTGTCTGTAGCAAAATGCTTTGACTTCTGAGACCAGACCTGGTTCCTTTAATATCTGAGCATTTGATGAGTACTAATGAAATGGAAGCCCACTCTGGCAGCCTCCAAAACCAAGGAAGGGTCCCTTTGGGGAAGAGCAGTAGACAGTCATCTTACTTGAAGGGCATAAAGAGAGTCCCCTGACTCTCTGGGTTATACTGCATTCCTCCTTCAGGGTACTGCCCAATAAAGCCTAAAGCCCAAGAAAGGTCTCTACAAAGAGACTGGTACTTGACAAGATCGAAGGTTCCTGAGTTTCTCCACCCAGGATTCACGAAACCACCGTGCGGATTTCCCAAGAGATCATCCCAGACAAGCAGCATTAACTGCAGAGATCTCTAATGGAAGCCCTCTTCAAAACTAACAAACTTGACACAGGAGGTTGCTTAATGTCACTACCTGCAATTTTATATGTTGGCTTATTTTTTTTTTACCTTCCCTACCTGAATGTGAGCTCCATGAGGCCAGGGACCTTTCCTTTCTTAGTCACCGCCATATCCCAGTGCCTGGGCACAAAGTAGGCACTTGATAAATCTTCGCTACAGGAGTGGCTACCAGATGCCCATCTCACTCTGGTACAGAACACTCATTGCCTAACAGTATGCCATTAGAACCTTCACGAAGCTGTCCTGCCCAAGGAAAGTTCAGCATTTGCAGACAGCCTACCACAGAGATGGCTTTTAAAGTCACACGCTAACTGAAGGAGACAAGTCAACTCACAGCTGGCGTAGGAGCGGCTGTCATCCTCACACATTTTGTGCAGCTGCTGGTATTCCTCCTGAGCCAGCTCGAACCGCTGCTGCTTGATCTGGTAGATTTCTTTCTTGGCATTGAGAGCCTCCTGGGCTACAATTAAATATTCCTTCAACATGCGCTCCTGCTCTCGCCTCCACTGCTCTCGGGGGTCCTCAATCTGGGTAAGCTCTGAAATTAAAAGGGCAAGAACACAAGTGACTTAAAAGTAAAATCTTTAGGTTGACCAATAGTCATGCATATTAGCCAATATGAAAATTAATTAATTACCAGGATGCACATTAGGCAAGATTCTACATCATGAACCTTTCCAAAGTATGGAACACCTTCTATTTATATATCTACAGTTGAGAAGAAAACTCTACAGAGATGAAATAGTCCACTGGAGGAGAGAAGACAACACATGACTATTTTGTCACCAATAAAGACCACACTTTAAGTGCTGGAGATGAACCCAAATGAGCTTGGAACCGTCACACGGATAGCTACTTACAGCCATCTTCTCACTGACTCTGTGCACGTGGGCCGCTATGAACCGCTATGAACTGCCACCTCCCTGCCGGGCCACCTCCCTGCCAGGCCATGCAGTCTTTGCTCACTCCTCACTGGCATCCTCTCCTCTCACCTGGCTTCCCCACATCCTGCTCCTGCTTTCTCCCTCTCCAGCTCTCTTGCCTACCTCCAGCTCCAACCTTTAATCCAGCCCCAGCCCAGCAGGCCTTCTAGAAGGTTGTGTATGAAGATGCCTGTGCCACTCAGTAAGCATCCCTACCACCTGGCCCTGGGAAGGATGAAGCCTGGTGATGACACCATGGTGCAGGTGTGCCCAGGCCGATAATACAGCAGCCCTGAGCAGCAAGTGGCTCTCATGTGTCCAGAGCTGTCCCCTGGGCCATTACCTAGGAAGCCAAGCCCCAGATGGCCACACTTACCCAAACATACTGATGCAAGCTGCTGGGCCAGCAGAGGGTCACCTGGTGAGCTGGAGCCCCTCGGCTTCTCTTCTGCCAGGCACCCACCCTGTCCAATAGGTGGTGGATCCACCCTGAAGCTCTCCTACCCCTTGGATACCTGCCTGGGAGGGCAGCGGGCAAGGACGGTACCCATGCCCCGTCTCCAATCTCCACCACCTAGTCTTTGGCTAACAGCTGCAATCGCACGCAAGGCTGGGCGCAGGCATCAGAAATCCCACTGCCCTGAGATCTGAGGCAGGAAGACTCAAAAACTCGAAAGGTTGCCGGCAACTGACAATGCAGGAATCAGCCCTGAAGATACCAACCTGGGTCACTTACACTAAGGGACACAAGAAGCCACAGGACCAGCACATAGAAAGAGCTTCAAAACCACTCAGGTAGGGAGTATCACACCTCTTGAGACCCCCAGCCTCCCCGCACTTAATAAATCGAAGGGCAGAGAGTAAACCAAGGGGAGTCATGCTTTATGTCCCCAGTCGTTAAATGACAATGACAAAAACACTGAGGGAAGCTAGAATGAAAACAGGAGGGAGTGAGAAATGGATCCCTGGCTGAGACCCGATCCAGGAAGGCTGGGGAAGAGGCAGAAAGCCAAGAGTGAGGGGCGGAGAACACATCTAGAATAAAACAGGGCCTCAGAATCAGGAGTCCCCCACCTCAGCACTACTGACACTTGGGGTCAGCTCATTCGCTGTTGGGGAGGAGGGGGCTGTCCTGTGCCGTGCAGGATGTTTAGCAGCACCCCTGGGCTCCACGCACTGGACGCCAAGATCACCTCTCCCAGGCACAGCCATCAAAGAAATAGTCTCCAGACATTACCAAGTGTCCCCGAGGGGCAAAATCAACCCAGGTTGAGAACCACTGCTCCAGACAGTCCCACAAAGGAAGCTGGCATGGTCAAATATCCATTATTTTAGCTATAATCTTTATGCCATTTCCTCCCTTCACACACACACATACACACACACACACACACACAAAAGACGAAAAAGGTTTGGTGTGTTAAAGTTACATGTATAAGAAAAAATGAAGTTAAGGTAACCACGTGGGCACTTATTGTTCCAAGAATGTGTAAGTTCCATTTGCAATAAACAACTTTTTCATTATGAGAGGTATTTCTATTTCGACTGCGAGGGGAATTTATTCATTATATTAGATATTAAAAACCCTTCATCAAACATATTACATGCAGTCCTCAGCAAGACATAAGCAAAGCACAGCTCCGTAACTGCTTCCCTTTTTAAAGAACTCAGCTAATGAAAACTTCAGATTACATTTATAAACCTCAGTTTAATGCTTCATTGGCCATTAATGACTGTTTCAGTCTACACGAAGCTTTTACCGTCTTTGAGATTCAACATGAAAACTCATTCACATATAATGCCACAAATTTGGCACTCTACTTACTATTTATGTGGTCCATGTAATAAATTCCAATTTGTTTATCATACACAGTTTCCCATCCTAAAGGAAGTTCGTCCCCAACACAGTCGGCAAAGGTCAATGGCTTTGTTATCCTGCAAAATAAAATTATGAAAACAAATTTGAACATCAGGTCAGTGTAAGTTTGTTGACTCTAGAATTAGGTTTTAATAAAAGAGTATACATTATCTTATCTAATTGACTGTTTTTGCCCCAATTATTTGGTTGGAAAATTAATTCACCAGCTTTGCCTAAATAATAATAATCAATAGCTATACTAGTACACTCAAAATTAAAAGCATTGCTATCTCCAAGTGCAAACTGAAATACCAGCCAAAATAGATATTCACAGTTACTAACAAAACAGGAAAAACAAGCATCTTCTTCCAAGCAGTCCGTTTAATGAGGTGATGACAATGGAATGCAGCTCTTCCAGAACAATGGGAGAGCACCTGTGCTCTGTTCTTCCCTGAGAACCGTCCCCCACTCGCAACTTTCAGTTTCCACACATTACACATAAACACCAGCTTAAATCCATATAAAGTGCATTTATAATATTTTCATCTACCAGTGGTCATAAGTTAATTAAACATCTACCATTGACCAAATGCAAAGAGCCATGCAAGGAAACAATACAATGAGATCCCTACTAAATACTTCCTGTATTCCTTACAGAGTAGGAATCAGAAATTTCAAAGGGTCCTTTTTTGGTTTTCAGGAGAACAACAACAAAAGCACTTTGTCTATAGGTGTCTCTCCTTGAAGGAAATCTGATTAAGGAAACCTGGGCTGGACAGGAGAGAGAAAGTAAAGGGTTTTCAGATTCTGTAAGTAGTCCTCCCCTCCCCCATCCCACCATCACACTGCTGACAAGACAGTGTCAGGACAGCAGCTGGCGTGTAAAATGGGACACGCCTATAATTGTCTGAGTCTGGGCAGCTATCTCTTGGGTTGCCCCTATAAATGCACACTGACTGGTATGCATGGGAATCTGATAACCTAAATTTCACTAACTCAATCCTCCCACTTCTGTTCAAGTCCCCGGCCCCAAGAAAGTGAGACACAACCACAACCAAGCCCCATGAGACCAGTATGAATTCTGAACATGTGATTTCCCCAAACTGGTTGGACAACAAGGCTGTCTCTGCCAGTAGCAGTTAGAAACTGGTAAACACCACCAGAATGACACTGATTTTACTCTTCTTCATTTAATCTTCATTTTAAACATACGGTTTTAAGAAGTTAGAGCCAATATGAAAACAGAAATATGTAGAAGGTGAAATATGCTGCAGATATCCTTCCAGACATAGTGCACTCAAGAAATCACAACACAAGATGAACCTATTACACACTGTCTCATGCCACAACACTGATGTCTGCAGTGTGATTCCTTTACCAGTAGGGAATGGTATGCCCATGGCATGGTTCCAAGTCAAGCAGGTAAAGGCAGGGTGTTTTGCATGACTGAAGGCCTGAATGGGACCAAACCAAAAACAATCCTACTTTAAGACAAATTGAGTCCTGAGCATAACGCTGCTATTTTATCATAATACGAAAAGCAAATAAGCCTAGAGAAAAATGCCCAAATGCAGGCACATTCTAAGCACATTTACATACATGATCTCATTCAATCAACAAATACAGGTGGGAAACCCATCCTTATAGCACCGCTGAGCCCGATCCACTTATTTTACAATTCAGAACTGTTATAAAATTATTAAAAGTTCACATTTTTCCATTTTCTCTCTAAAAAGTAACCAGGTTATCCTAATAGCACTTCTATACTACTTGCTCAAAAAATAAACTGACTGATACTTCTACCATTTTGGTGAGTTTTATTTTAGCTTTATGTAGAATCCATATGTCTCAT